TTCCAGGGTGGCTCGGGGGGGGGGGGGCTTCGCCCGAAAGATTCTTTGAGACTTTTTTTCTCTTTTATTTCCATGAAAGTTTCATGAGTTAGCGAGGGGAAATTGCGGCGAAATGGACTTCCCCCCCCCTCCCCAAATTTCCCATGAATATCTTGAAACTTCGAAAATTTACCGGAAAAAAAAAGAATTTAAGAGAAAGTTCTATTTTTTTTTTCGAGGTTTGGCCCCAACTTCACTGCAATCGCAAGGGGGGAGATTTCATACACCGCTCATACACCGTCTAGCGCCACGCGATCGCCTGAATTAACTGCAAATTTTCCATCCGAGACGAGATGCGCTGAAATTTCAGCGCTTCATTCGGATATTTTTCGGAATTGCTTCGAATATTAATAATAAATTATAATCATTCTCGCAATTGACGAGAAGTCTATTTATCGGGATGACGTAACGAGCGGTCTCAGCGGCATCAAGCGGCCTCCGCAAGAGCTGGTGTTTCCCAGAAGATTTTCAATATTTTTGCAAAACCTGCCGTCGAGGCGAAGACCAGCTTCGGCCGAGACTCGGGATTTGCTGTAAGCATTTTTGCACATCCGTTTTGTACAGTTTGTGCACATTCGAAAGCTACCAAGCTGTTATCAGAAGCTGGAGCTGGAAATGTACGCGACAAATTTTTTTCAAAAAGGGGCATTTTCTCCGGAATTCTATTGGAATTGGAGACGTGGAGGCATTTTCAATCCAAGATTCCCGGTCTGTTTCTCCGGAATTTGATAAATATTGATATTATTGATAATATTGACAACATGATCGTGGACGCGGGAAATATGACTTAGCGAATTGCAGCGGTCTCACCTCTTCTGCTGGGGAATTTCGTCGTCTTTTCGCGTGGAGTTCGAGGCGATCCGAGCGGCCGGGCGTCTCGCGGGGTTCTGCGTGGTGGCAGTGTTGTCGGATTTCTTTCCTCCTGGGATGGAACGGGGGAAGTCTGGACGGGTGGTCGTCCGTCTGCGGATGCAGCCGTTTTGCGAATTTCTTCGAGTCGTGAAGGAAATATGCGAATAATGGCCTGTATGAGCAGATTCGACCGATTATGGACGGATGCTTCGAAGACGGAATAGCAGGGTTGCCGAATTTGCAGGGTTGCCGCACTTGCACGTTCGACGGACGGTCGCTTCGCTCGCTTTTGTTGTCTGGGATGAGTCTGCGGTGCTTTTTCCCTTCGTTCCTCGATTTCGATGCTGTTTGCCTTACAATTTGAATTGGACGTGAGGACCATCAGACATTACAGCTTCTCTGACTTTCTCGAAAGCATCTATTCACAGCGAAGGCAATCATTACCGATGATAATAAACGCAGCTGCTCCTAAAAGTCTTAAGCGAACAGCGAAATTCACAAATGTTGTCTCGGAGAAGCCACTCTGCTTACAGGCCTAGGTGGAGATACAATTGCGAGGAGTGGTTCACGCCTCGCGGGAGCTTGGGAAGCGACACACACGTGGTCGTGGGAAGCAGTCGACTCGCTCGAGAGGGGCACGTTGATTGGTGGAGCAGGCGCCAAGCAGACGACAGATATGACGTAGTTCCATGGCCGAAGCTCGGTACCTCAGGTACATCTCTAGTTGGACTGGTCACGTGTCTGCGATTAATTCATGCTCAAGGCCGAGAGACTGAAGACAGACAAACCGTGGGGATGATGGAGAAATCCTTCTTGGATGCTTTCAAGCTTCTCCGCCGAGGACCTTCTGGGAGTTTTCAGCAGGGATTGTATAACTCAGGATCCCATGGCTGGTCCTGGCGACGAGATTCAAGCTCTTCGAAGTTAGTTTTGGGGCTGAATTCCAGCCTCTTCGCCAGCTGAGTTCCAAGTCGTACTTCAGAAACTGTTTCGCTTTTGTTCCTTTACGGGATTCTAAATGGCCTCATCGAACAGGAAATCGAGGCGCTCTTCTAACATTCTCTCACTGCACAACTTTTGTGATGTTGTACTGCTTTTTGTGATAAGCCTTTGCTTTGGTGCAACAGTAGCAAGTGCTGTATATATTCATACAAGGACTTCAAGTATCCATAGACTCGAGAAGAAGGATCTGTCCTTTGAACGACATGCTCAAGAACAGGCGCCTTTGCAAGATCCAAGATTACCTGAAGATGAATTTAAATTTCTTCTTCAAAGGAACGATTCATCTGTTGTTCATCCATGTGATAGGTGTGTTTGCATCCAAATTTTTTAACCTCATATGGTCAAGTAAAATAGGCCTAGCTCGATACTTGTGATATCTATTATGGTAAGTTATATGAACATGCACATCAGCATAATGAAGGCTGGGCTCATTTCCATCACCTAATGCCACATTTGTTTTATCATTTGCAGCATTATGTGTTACCCCCCTTTTCTCTATTGGGTGACCAAGAATCCATCAGATTTCCCCAACATTTTTGCATCGAAGTTTCTTGCCCCTTCAGACATCCTTAAAAAAGAATTCAACGAGATCCTCAATCTCACTTCCAATCGGCCATCTTATGGCGACCTTAAAAAGTTCGTCAACAAGAACTTCCAGCAAGTGGAGGTGCTTTCTCCTGTACAGCCTACTGATTGGAAACCCAAGTGAGTGGATGAATTTGTGAATGATGAAACATCAGCAGTATTATAGATTCATTGTGTGGATTTGCTGAATTCTTTTAATTTCAGACCAGAGTTCACAGAGCGCTTAGTTGATCCACTCTTAAAAGAATGGGCATTGAAGATCCATAACATCTGGGTAGACCTTGGACGGACTGTATCAATCGAAGTATTGAGGAAGCCGGACCAATATACATACATTCATGTGCCATATTTACACATGGTTCCAGGGGGGAAGTTTGATAGCTTCTTCTACTGGTGAGGATTTCCTTTCCCCCTAGGTTTTGTTTGGGCATATTTCAACTTGAGCTGTCTGAGTTAATAGACAGTTTTTCTCAGGGATTCTTACTGGATTTGCAAAGGCCTCATTGTGAGTGGGATGCTAGAAACAATGCAAGGGCTCATCCTCAACTTCATATCAATGGTGGAGCGGTTTGGATATGTTCCGAACGGAGGGCGGGACTTCTTGAGTCGACGAAGCCAGCCTCCGATGTTGACACTACTAGTCAGGGATTATTTTCAGGCTACCAATGATCTTGACTTTGTCAGGTGAGTGTCCACTTTTACTTCTGCATGGAAAGAAGTAATGGAGAGTTGCCAACTCAAGTTCATCTATTGGGCAGGGACAAGATCCACATACTAGTGAAAGAGTACAATTATTGGGTGAGGAACCACAGTATAGAAGTACAAAATGGGCAGAAAGCATTCACCCTGTTCCGATACAACGTTGAAGTTGATGATCCCAGACCAGAGGCTTTCCAGAATGACCTTAACACTGCACTCCAAAGCCATAGGGACTCACAGGAAGTGTATTTTCACCTCAAGAGTGCTGCAGAATCGGGCTGGGATTTTTCTTCCCGCTGGTTTATTCGCAATGGCTCCAATGCTGGTTGTGCATCCATCATCTCCTCAGTCTTCATTTGATGCAGATTATGATATGTTCATTGAGTTTTCCTGTTGCACTTTAAAGGGGAGTTGACAGATATCAGCACGCGAAACATCGTTCCAGTGGACCTGAATGCCTTTGTCTGTTCGATGGCTAAAATCCTGTCAGACATGTACCATCGCCTGGGGAATGCCAAAGAATCGGAGCGATTTGAAAAGGAGGCCAAGAATTTAGAAGATGCCATTCAGGCCATACTATGGGACCCAGAGGAGAAGATGTGGTTTGATTACGATGTCATCAACAGAGTATGTTTCCTGATGATGCTAAGTAGCCATGTGTGCCAGGCTCATTCCTCATCCAAGCCTGTCTCTTTTCTACAGAAGCAGAGAAAGTATTTCTATCTCTCTAACATCACTCCCATCTGGTCAGAGTGCACTGGGACTCATCAGACGCCTGAGGAAGCCGTGAGGAGGACCATGGACTACCTGAAGCGAGAGAGAGTGTTGGATTATCCTGGAGGTGTCCCTACATCTCTGGTTGCCTCAGGACAGCAGTGGGATTTCCCTAATGCATGGCCTCCACTTGTGCACATCCTAATTGATGGACTTTCCAAGTACCCAGATGTTCTTGAAGCCCAGACTTTGGCCTCTCAACTTGCTCACACTTGGTTGGCATCCAATCTACAAGCTTTTCTCAAATATGGAGTCATGTTTGAAAAGGTTAGCTTATGTTCCTTGCAATTTTTCATAAAGCTTTATGGTTAGCTCTTAACACTTACTAACATGAAGTTGAAATAGTCACAATAATGATTTTGTTCCTTTTGAGGAAGTCCCTGAGGAAAATGTTGGATTTGCTGTAAAGATCCTTTCTCTGATAATGTGGGTCCCAAAAGCAGTCATTAATGAAAGCTATGTAAATTGCCTGAGCTATCTCTTGAGTTGGAGAACACTTGATTGTGTAAATGATACTTTACTCCATCACTGTCAGACCTGAACTTTCTATCTGTGAAGGTGGGGGTAGAGGACAATCAAGCTTTTTTAATTTCAATCAAGCAAGGATCTAGTTGACATGTACAAGGGGCACTACTCGCACAATGACTTGTGGCCTGTGGCATTTACTTTTTCTTCATCAATTTTGGGATTATTTTCTGCATCATCCTCAATGCAGAGGAAATTTACAGCTTTTCTATCATTCAAGATTCAAAACTCACCCCAAGGACTTATTCCATGATAGAAAGACATGATTCACTTATTGAAAATTGTTGACTGATGCATCATGCAATTCTTTAATTTGGATCATCCACAATATGGAGGAAAGGAGACATTTTTCTCTTTTCTGAATCCATTATATTCAAGTTCTTTTCATTGAGTATGAATATGCTCTCCAACAGGTAAAAAGGATTTTTTGCATGTTTTTTTTTTTATATCCACTTTTCTCATTTGGAGATTTAACTATAGCACATGAGAGTAGATGAGGAGAGCCTTGAAAAAATAAAGACTGGTATTAGTGTGAGCTGTCCACATGTCTTCTAGCTATCATCAAGCATTCTTTGGCTCTTGTGCAGTATGATGTGACAGAAGTGGGGAAGCCTGGGCATGGAGGCGAATATGATGTGATGGAGGGATTTGGGTGGACAAATGGAGTGGTGCTGGATCTCCTCATGAGATATGGTAATAGCCTCGACGTGAAGAATCTGGTGGGAGTAAGACTGATTGAAGGTCGTGATCATTCTGCTGCTGCTGCCTTCCTTGCTGGTGCTTCTGTCCTCCTTGGCTTTTGTGGCTGGTATGTATGCCTGTTCCCACCCACACATGCCCAGTAAGCTTACCTAACTGAGTGAGCTTATGCTTTGATTATCAAGTTTTGACACTTACAGTCAAGAATATTCCACTTATCTCAAGATTTTCTACTATATAGTACCCTACATTAAGGTACCAGGCACAATAGGCTCTTGGTCCATAATTGCACCCTGACTTTGGAACACCAGCTAACCCAGCCACAGGTAGAGCTACCTCATAGGCCTAACGTATTTTACCAAGTTTAGCATTTCATGATGTTGCTCTCAGATGAAATCATCTTTGCATCATGAGTTGAAAGAAGCATCTCATGATGCTTTTTTGATGGTTGAGGACTAATAAGAGCAAAAACTCTGAGTGAAATGTCATTTTATGTATGATAGTCATCACAGAGTCTGTCCATCTTTTTTTCCTGTGGTGCTGCCCATCCCACTAGTCTGGTGAGGATCAGTAAAGGATCCTGTGTACTTTTTTCAGCATTATCATTCATCTCCTTCCTTTCATCTGGTAAGGATAATAGTGGTACATTCCGGGTGTCCCTGTCCCCACATGCAGCACCAACTCACATGGCACAAATTGAGATTATCAGAATGATAGATTTCCTATTGGCAGTTAGCACTTTCATGTCACATTTGCACACCTTCAAATTGTTACAGGAATTGGACTTGTTGATGGAGTAAGTGTGCAATTGCATGATTCTTGGTGGATGCACTAGTTTGAGTCTTGGATCATTTGTTGAAACCAGGGAGATTTCAGACAACCTGCTACCACAGGTTCTTCCTCAATTGTAAGCTAACCTGATGTATGTGTAAAAACTTTCCCAAAGCAAACAGGTTCATGCTTTGGGCCTATTTTCCAATTCTTGTTGTGATTTGTGCCATAGGGCATTTACAGCTTCTGAAAACAATCTATAAACTCCATGGTAGGATTAAGATGAAGCTTCATAAGAGGATGTTGAAAGAAGTAGAAGTGGTATTGTTATGGCTTACAATCCAATGCAGGTGCTTAGCATTGGCAAGGCGCAAGGTGACTCTTGGTTCATCTTCATTGCCCTCCTCTGACTTGACATATCGATTGCTTGGGGATCAGGAGCAGAAATCACGAGGGAAGATGCAGTATCTGCACCCCTCCCAGGACTCTGAAGGGGAGAGTCACCACCTTCTGTAAGCACTCTCTTTTTTCACAATGAGTTTTTCCTTTGAATATTGGTCTGTGGATCTGTGCATTTTTGTTTTCTAATTTTTCCTGCAGAGATCTGTCTGCAGTTCCTTTGATTCCTGCATGACCCTCATAATCAAGTAGAGAGTCCATGTCATCCAAGTCTGCTCTTTTATAATTTTTTTTCATCCCATTTGTCTTCTTCATGGCTATATGTTACTTTTCAGAAATCAGTGAACAAAAGTGTGCAGTAGTCACTTGGTTTATCTTCCAAAAGGGCCTTTTTTTTCATCTTTCTTCCATCAGTCTCCTCAGCCAATTACCAAGGAGAGACCATTACCTGAGCTAAACCATGGTTGGATCACCATTAGTCCATTACGGTTTCTGGGTCTGCTTTTGAACACTTTTAAGATTGACTCATCTGGAAAACTTTAAATTTATATTTATTGTGCTGATTGAGAAAGGTGTTGGTAGGTTTTGGAACGTGTCTTTTCCTATAGTCAATCAAAAGTTTAATGTTTCTTGCAAATTGTCTAGATTTTGGCTTCTTTCTTCAAGTGTTTTCCTTTTGTGATATTTGGACTTCAGTGGTGTTAGTTTTACATGGCCCATTGAATATATGCACAACTAAGACATTTTTCTTTCTTTTGTGGTAGATATAAAATTTACCTAACATGTTCACTGAAACATTTGGCTTAATGGGTTTCAGGTATATTTATTTAATTTTGATGAAGTGATTGTCAGTTACAAAAGTTACTCAAGGAAATGGGTATGAAATGTTGGTGGGACCTGCTTTCTCTGCTGCAAACACTTTTTCTCTGCCTAATCGATGGTGCTGTGCAAATAGAATACATATTTTTTCCATGTTAGTGTGAATTGGTTTCAGCAGGATGTCCTTGAGATGTGGTACCTTTAAGGTCTAACTGTGTCCATGCTTCCAATGCATAATTCTCATTTCCCATCATATGACTTCACTGCAGACCTGCAGTGTGTATTCTGTGATTGTGAAAGGTGATTGATTAAATCTGAAGATCTTGAAACATCTGCACCTCCTATTGTTACCTGATCTGTCTTCTTGAAGTTGTGTAGAACTGCCTGTCAAATGAGAAAATATATTTTCAATGAAAGCAACCTGTGAACTGCCTGTTTTTTTTTTTTTTTTTCACTTACAGGCATAGACTGAAATACATATATATAGGCATTCTTTAAGCATGTGGTATCACAATGATGATTGTGGACACAAATGTGCCAGGAATAAAATAAGTATCTTCAAACACCAAAATAGCTGAGTGCTGAGAAAGTGACAAAAAGCACCACTGTGGATACAGACAGAGCCCACCACAGAGTAACACCAGGGAGCTTTGGAATGTGATGAACCTTGACCTGGTTGTCAACTGAGATGCTGATGAGAGAGGCATCATGAAGTACTGTCAGGGAACAGGCATCATTTTTGGACGGTGCAAATTCCAAGCCCGTGATGAAGGACTTGTGTGCATTTTCAATCTTCTTGACTGACTGGAGGTTAAAAGTGGTGAAGATCTCCACACTGCCAGAGAACATGCATCCAACGGCAAAGAACCTCCCATCGCTACTCACTGCCAATGCAGAGAGAACCTCTGGTAAAGCCTTGGCCCTCTTCCTTTTCAAGTCTTCATGGTCCCATTGCACCACATAAGCTGGTTCTTTTGGTTTCCCCAATGGATTGTGGATGGTAATGAGAAATGATTTGTTCTTGTGGCCTTCAATCACGGCAAAGCGCCCGCGCTTGAAGTGATACTTGCATGCATTGTGCTTGGTTTCCCACAAGAGGTCGCACACCTTGCTACCATCTTCGAATTTCCACACGGATGCTGTCTGGTCCTTGCAGATGCTGATGATCTTGGTGCCACAGGGACTCACATCGATATCATCTATCTCCTTCGAGTGGGCTTGTATCTCTTTGATCTTCTCCAGATCATCGGACTTCCAGAACCGTAAATACCCATCAGACCCACCGGTTACCAGCCAGTCGTTTGTGGGATTCACCCTCACCACTTTTAAATAGGCATCATTTGCAATGCATTCTGATTGCACCTGCTTCACAAGATTGAACTCGGCATACATTGACTCCCCAAGATCCCGTTTCGCTGGCTTCTTCGTTTTAGTCTTTTTCTCCTCCACCTCTTGCAAAAGCTCCTTCATCTCGTTGGGAGAATCTTCGCTCACTTCCAATGAACTTCTTCTTCGATGACGAACTTGAACGAAAGACGAAGCGGCTTCCCTCGTAGGACTGTCAATGACCAACCCCTCATCTTCGGGACGTTTCAGCTTCAGCGTCACCTTGTACAAATGAAGATCGGCTTCCGCTCCAACGGCCAAGAAGATAAACCGGCCCTGCTCGAAGATTTCACAGTTCATGATCGCCACTCTCCCCGTTTCGAATTTGGTGAGGGGTTTAGCCATGTATCTCTCCCCATTGCACACGATAGTGAAGACTTCCATGCCATTCGTGATGCCCGTGTTGGAGGAGCCTCCTCCTCCACCCACTAAAAGCAGGTTGTTTTTGAGAAGTTTCACGCAATAAAGGGGGAAATTGACCCGAGTGAGAAGACCGGTCTCGGCTGACGCCATGTTTACACTTGAGGGATTAGGAACACGTGGAATGGGGTTGTTGTAAGATCTTGGATTGAATTTGAGCTTTGCAAGAGAGCAGCCCGATCGCCGTTTTTGCCATAACAGCCTCTTAGTCTTAAAAAAAGTTATCTCTCTTTTTTTTCCTTTTTTTCCATCAGCCATTCAAAATGTACCTAAATTTTACTAGAATTGAGATATCTAGCAACACTGAACATCGCATCAGACCCCGCGGTGTCCTACTGTCTTGCGTAGGATGTATGACCGCGGGAGTGCGGAGTGAAACCAAGATGGCTGCTTCTCTCTATTCGTTTACACGTGCCGGTCAGCTCACAAATTTGAAGTCGAAGTGATCATCGAGCTCTTTTCTTTAGGGGCATACCAAGTGACAAAGTGAGATGACCGACTTTCCTCTTGATCTTACTCAGGCCTGTGCTTAACATTACATCGCTGGAAGGCCGAGCTCGCGTCATAAAAATGGCTTTCTTTTGCTACTAGACATTTCTTGTTAAGTTTGGTTGAAGCTTTAGAATCCTTTAAATTACATTTGCATCTTATCTGAGGATCAACTGGAGCACTCTACACTGAAGATAAACGGAAACTTAGATGGAGATATCTGAAATTACAAATCTTCATCTGTTCTAGGAATTTCTTGAACTGCAACTGGCCTCATGAATACACCAACCGCTTTACTGCCTGGTCGTATGTCTTATAGGCTTAATCAAGAGAAGCTCAAATCATGGGCCACATGTGGCCACTGGAGGCCTTGCATCTGAGGATGAAACATACTCTTCAGCGAGGCAGGCATAATAGCAAGCCCTTCCTCTTAGTGTATGGTATAAGAATAGTCATGTCTGGATGTGATGAGTTTTAGTACCAAGGCTTAATCTTCAGATTACATGTAACTTTTTTCGTATTTTTCCAATGTTGATTTTCCCATTGAAGCCATTGTGGAACAGTCTGACTCAAGAATATGATCAGAATCATGAAAATAAATGCCTAAAAACAACTTCTGTCATAAGCAAATAAAAAATTGTTACAAAGAATAAGTGAAAAATGCTTACGTTCTTGTACTTCTCCTTATATTTTAAATATGCTGATGTCTATTTAGCATATTCACTTGCCTAGCTCTAAGTGGTCTGCCTACTGTCCTTTGCCAAACATTAAAGGTATTTAGAAAATTTTACAAGTTATAAAAAAAAAAAATCTCTAAAACCATTTAAGCTAGGCAAATGAAATTTTCAACATACCTTCCCAAATGCCTTCACAACACTTACATTTTATAGGGCAAATGGCATTTTCTGTATATAAATACTTGTGCACTATATAATGCACATTGCATTCACTGTGTTAATTGCATAGGCAAAGAGTAGTCCACTCAATTTCAAGGTGTCTTTGATGTAATATACCCAGTTGCAAATGGCAATTGACTTACCTTGGCCCACACTTTAATACAGCAGAAGAGAAACCAGGAATTTTTTTTTTTTACCCTTCAGAAGTTGAATCAAGCATACATTTTAAACTGAATTTTAGGGTTAGTGAATGACTTCTACTCTATTTCTTAATTTCTCTGTAGGTGGAAGCCTGTGGAAGAGTGAATTGCAGGATCCTTGAAAATTGAAGTTAGAATTCACCTGACAGAGAGGTTATGGCCATACTGTATTTGTCGGCCCTGGGACTGGGGATCCGCATGGCCCTGAGTAGCCTATATGGAGAGCAATTGATGCAGAGAATTGAAATTGCCACACCAGTGAACTCATGGGAGCGCATGCGGGAAGGATCTTTCCTTCACAAACATAAACTGTCCCCATACGATGGTGATCTCTTTCATGGAACTCCTCTCATGTTGCTTCTGGGGAATTGGCTTCTTCAGTTTGACACCTTTCTTCTTCCGCTAGTGTTTGCCATAGTGGACGTCCTAGTGTCCTGGCTCTTCTATGCGATTGGCAAGTGCCTTGCCCAAGAGTTGTTGGAACGGGAGCATCAGAACAAGAAGCATCATGAAGACTCTGCTAAGAATCTATTGCTAAATCCCAATGATATAGGATCATTACCATTGAAATTGGCAGCTTGCTTCATCTTCAATCCGTACATCATCGCAAACTGTGTGGGTCAGACAACCACTACCTTCTTCAACTTGTATCTGGCATTGTGCATCTTGTGTATGCTGACAGAGAAGGTAGTGCTATCCTTAGCTCTTCTGGCCCTATGCACCTATGAGTCCTTTTATTCTATCTCTCTCATTGTCCCCATGTCCATGTATCTGGCAAGAAAGAAATACCCCAAGGACTTCAGTTATTTGAAGCCCAGTGTTCAACAGTTCCTGATGAGAAGCCTATTTGTATTCAGCATCTCCCTCACTGCACTTTTCTTCGCATCAAAGGAGTTAAGTGGGTCATGGGATTTCCTGTCATCCACATACGGCTTCGTGTGGAACGTCCCCGATCTCAAGCCCAACATTGGACTTTTCTGGTACTTCTTCACTGAGATGTTTGAGCATTTCCGTGTCCTATTCGTCTGCACGTTCCAGATCAATGCATTCCTCTATGTGGTTCCATTGTCCATTCGCTTTCACCGTGATCCAATTCTTATTTTTTATTGCTTGATGTCCCTGACTGCCCTCTTCAAGTCATATCCCAGTGTGGGTGATGTGGGGTTTTATCTTTCGTTTCTGCCCATGTGGAGCCATCTCTATCCCTTGATGCGCCAGCCGCTCGTGATCGGGTGCTTCTTCCTCGCCACGTCTGTCCTGGCCCCCATCATGTGGCACTTGTGGATCTATCAGGGGTCAGCCAATGCCAACTTCTTCTTCGGCATCACACTGGGCTTTGCCGTCGCCCAGATTTTCCTCATCACGGATATCCTCTTCGCATACATCAAAAGGGAACACCACTTGTGCCATGGATCCAAAAATGAAGTCGATGGAAAGCCAGCTACACTCTCTTTGAAGTGATTCATTTCCACTGCCATGTTTGCATTTGATTTATATTATGTGGCTGAGACAAATTGTTTCTTACCAGCATTGTTTTCTGCAGAGGATTCTAGTCAGGATCTGTTTTTCTACGTATGATACATACATATGTGCCTGTGGGTGGTTTTGAAGCCATTGTTGGTGTTGGTGTTACATGTGGATGTAGGGACTTCTGAAGTGAACCTCTGCCATGGATACACCAGCCATGGGTGATAAGTTCTATGAGAACATGTGCCAAGCAGCTAAAACCATATCTGGGATCTCTGTCATCATGCATACAGATGTGTAAAGCCTGACTTCGAAAGTTTGCAAGTTTCATGCCAGGCTGGAGGAAATACCCTTACAGTAGACTCTGTTTAAGCAGGGTTAAGGTGTGACTCATGATGGTACAGAATAGACTCAGGCAAATATGTATCATTACAGTGTAGAGAAAGTGTTAAATTTAGCTCCAAGTATGAATACTGATTTTGGAGGTAGAGGCACAAAAACACTGAATTTGAAATCACCCATTGTTGCATCTTGTGCTAATGACATTTGATATCACGATGAATAATTGTACCTTCCCTTATATGTTTGGATGTTTCATTTTAGAATATTGGGCCAGTGGCACCAAAATGAGAGGCGAAGTTGAATGTGAATATGCCCTTGTGTCCTGAACCTACAAAGGGCAAAGCTTTAAAAGGGTTTTTCGAAGGGAAAATTAATGATTTTGATTTTTTATTCTACGCCTTCACGCGTCCCCTTCCTTGGATCGTTGGAGCACGGAACGAATTGAACTACATTTGAGATGATCCCCTGTTGTGCTTCTTTCCCGGATGCCCGCGAGACCGACCGGCCTGCAGTAGCCAGGATCGCAATCATTTTCCGTGATGGGATTCCGCACAACCTAATTCGACGGAACAGCTGCAACAGACCCGAGTTCCCCGATGACCTTCGCTGTAGGGGCGTCGTCGGATTCGCTCGTGGAAAAAGAAGCAAGGAGGTCACTTAAAAAGGACGACTTCCGAGGAATGCGGCATCCGTGCGTCCCTTGCCTCTCGACCCCTCTTCCTCCAAGGACGCTTATCATCACGAATTCATGGAAAAATCGCTACAAATATTTTCCCTCTTATGAGGAAAATGAGGCCACGCTCGCTTCAGTCACGCCGAGATGACGCAGCTTCGAATTTCGTAATCTCGATGGGACGGATTCCATAAAACATTTCGTCGGTCCGGAGGGAAAATTCCCGTCCGAGCAGTGTTATTCCAGCTCCATCGAGGGATCCCTCAGTTTGGAATCTTTCAGATAATGAGGTAAAGATATTTCTGCATTCATCGAATTCCTTTGCATGGATGAATGTTCACATCAGACTCGCAAAATTTGTTTAACTTTGGCCGTGAATGGATTGTTCACCTCTCGCACGAAACCGAAATTTTAAACGCTGATAAAACCTGCAGAAGACCAGCGGGAGCTCGAATCACCGTGAAAGATGAGTTTCCTGCTTGAGAGTTTTCCGTTCTTTTCGCTCCTCCTCGGCCTTCAGCTCTCGAGGCTTCAGGCGGATGGAAATCTGCCCATCCTCGGAGATATTCAGTATTATTTGCTGTTTGAGGTTCTCTTCACAAACACGGGTCGCGGTATGATCGATTTTCCGCATGGGATGCTATTATGCCGCGTACTTTTTTTGTCAGTTAGGGAAGTTCTTATTAATACCCATGAGAAAAACTTTCCAGATTTCCAAACTCTCACAGGGGTAATCATAGGAAGAGTGCAAGCTAGCAAGCTTCTAGCAAGCTAGCTTATATCAGACATCCCCCGCCCCAACAACGAGAACTCGAAAGAACCAAAGCGGACGACACACTCGAGTGTCTGGATGCTCCTGGATGAGGAATGGAAGTCAGAAGAAAGAGCCGAGGAAGGAGGTCTTTCGTACCAGCGAGGAGCGAAGCGAAACCAAGACTTCCAATGGATATTCGCTGTTGGAAGGATGACGCACTGGGAGCCTGAAGGCTTTTCCTCGCCACCCATCAGTGTTCGCTTTTAATATCCAGCCTGTTCGTACCTTTGCCTCGACGAGATGTTGAATTAAATGTTGGTAGTTTGTATCATATCAGCCTATGCAACGTGAAAGTTTCTTGAAAATGGCCACTGTGAGAGCAGATATCGAAAGACGGGAGGAATTCCGCTGTGCCATGCCTATCAGGTTTTTTCCTCCCTTCGCGCGAACGATAGTGACTGAGCAAGAGCTGCACGAAAGTCCGTAAAATGTTTTCGGTTTAATTCAACCGAGCTCACATATTCTACAAGGAAGCCGAACAGCAAAAGCGAATGTGAATTTCGGACAGAAATTCGTCCGAGAAACGTCCGATTCCCTTGTCCCCCCTTCTCCCCCCTTGTACCCCCTTGGTCCTCCCCAGAGTATCGCCTTCCCGGCTAGATTGCTGGAACCCATGAAACGAGTTTTTAATGGATTCTTCCTCTCCAAACCTTGATCGAATGAGGCGGAATTTCCGAATGCCATTCCTCCCGATATAGTATGGACTCACGGAGCAATCTGAAACGACCTCCTTTAAGTAAATAAATCAAAATTGCCTTTTCACGTCGACGAACGAATATATTTTCATACGCAGTTTTTTGTGCATGAAATCGTGCAATTCGCCAATAAGAAACTCCGTCGAGTCGCATGACACATTTAGATCCGATCCGTCTTCGTGCTTCTCGCTACTGCGCTGCAATGCATTACGTCGTAGGGATTTGGGAGATTCCACAGGGAAGCGTCCGTAAGCTCGGTAATCTGGCGTGAAGCAGAAACCTTCTCTGATATATTTCCCATTTTACTATTTACTGTTCCACTCCAGCCTGAATAGATCTCGAGCGGAGAAATTCTGAGATATTCCCAAACTTCCATTGAGATACGAGGGGCCGTGGTTCCACCAAGTCTGCCTCGGGCAACTATTTCCTCTCCCAGCAACCACCAGATATCGCAAGCGTTAATGCTCGTCTTTCATCGGTGGTTACTACTTTGGTTAGTTTAACAAATTTACTATTGCAATTCTATTGCAATTCTTCCTCAGAATTCTACGTAGATTAATGCAAAGGAGAACAGCCGCCATCTTGCAGTAACCCATGAGGAAACTTTCCTCGATATCCGGACAAGTCAGAGTTGCTTTACGGCGGGTAACAAGGGAGGAGAAACGAGTTTTAATCAGCTCGCTTCCGACCTAACTCAATGAGAAGGGAATCGAAACCCCACCCCATTCCTCTTTAGATATATGAATCTGTTTTCTAGAAACTGCCGTTTTGCATAGCCTGATAAATGTTTTTCTTTTTTTCCAAACTTGCCGCTACTTTCGCAGACCCCCTCTGGCAAACTACCGAAATTTTATTCAACATTGCGTCGAGGCAATGGTACGAACAATTATTACGCTGGATATTGAAAGCGAACACTGTTGGGTGGCGGGGAAAAGCCTTCACGCTCCCAGTGCGTCATCCTCCCAACATCGAACGGCTTCCATTGGAAGTCTTGGTTTTGCTTCTCTCCTCGCTGGTACGAAAGACCTCCCTCCACGGCTCTATCCTCTCTTCTGACTTCCATTCCTCATCCAGGAGCATTCAGCCACTCGCCTGCGTCGTCCGCTTTTGTTCTTTCCAGTTCTTTTTGCATGAGTCGATCTGAATAACGTAGAAGGGGTCGGTATGATCGTTCCTCGACTGCCTAGCTCACGGTGAAGGACGTACCGCGTCCCATCGACCGTTGCAATGCAGTTTGTGCACTTCGGAGATTTTGCGAACTTCCATGGAGAAACGGCCTTCACCATGAGCTTGGCAGTAGAGGAATCGAAGCGAACCGGGATTTTTCGTCATACCGCGCAGTATGCATTATTCGGTATTATCGTCACGGTATGGAAACCGTGGAATTCTTTATATCGTCACCACGGTACGGAATCTGTGGGACGCCGCCTCTAATCATGCCGCCGCAACGGCGCTAAGAACCTTTTCTAAAAAATTAATTACGAGGGGTGATCAAAAAGTTCGTATTCCGAGGCGCTTCCGGTTGCAGTACACCATACTTTCCTTATGAGAGGACTGATATCTTTGATGGCGACCGGCAGATTTTCGTCGCGTTCGTCGATTAAATATTGCTGAGTTTTTTTTTTCCCACGTGTTGCCGGAGGGTTTTAAAATCCAGACGAGTGCTGCGAGGAATTTTCTCATCGCTGCGGAGATTTTCTCGCTGGGACTTCATCCTCTCTGCTGGTGAGAAATCTGCCGAAAGACTGGATTTTAAAATTCATTTCTCGATTAAAAAACCTTCCAGCAGACCCTTCGGTAGCACGTGGGGAAAAAATTCATCGAAGCTATATTCAACCGAACTCTTCGATCATCCCTCGTACTTCGTCGACTGATGTGGGGATGTGGGGATGTGAGGATGTGGGGATGTGGCTCTTCGCGGTTCCCCGTCGAATTCCCCCGTTGATTTTGCGGCATTCCCAAAACTTCTATGGAGAAGCGAGGGACAGCGGTTTCACAAGGCTTGCTGCGGGAAACTTCTCCCGGCAACCACCAGATGTCACGAGCGTCTTTCATCTGTGGTTCCTGTTTCAGTTTCATCAAATCACTTCTCGTGCACCCATCGATGGAGCCTTCTTAATGTGGTAGGGCTTTTGCTTAACATGATTTTTCTTAACATAATTTTCCTTAACATAATTTTGCCTAACATAATTTTGCTTATCATAATTTTGCTTAACATGATTTTGCATGTTAGGAACCACTGCGTTTCCTCCCCACGATTCAACCCGCGAGGAAACTCGTCCCGATTTCCAGTTATCCCAAAGCTGCCTCAACAAGGGAGGGGAAACTAATCGATTTGCATGTTGAAATGTATCAATTACTAAAGCGAGCATGAATATTTTTCGTTCTGATGAAGCGTGTTTTTTATCTGTGGCTTTACGAAATTTTTGGGTTCGTGAAAAATATTATTTACAATTCATTATAAATAATT